CACTTTTCGGATAAAAGTTTGGCGTGGTGCTTGTGAGGAAGTACGGCGGTAGGAAACGCGTTCCGAAGGCCCTGATCGTGCAATTCGCCGCAGCTCACACCTGACCGAGTGCGCAAGAGCATGAATGGTTAGATCAATATGGTTTTGAAGCAGGGCTTGGGGTTCCGCCAGGCCGACGGCAGCGCCAAAAGCGCTGCCGATCGACGACGGCACTGCCAAGCACGCCCTCCTTTGGGCTGTGCTTGGGAAGCGGCGAAGGCCGTTGATTGCCACCAAAAGGCTGCATGGAGGAACGAGGCGGGAGTTGAACATGGGTGTCATTTCAATAACGTTGTTAAATAAACAAACGCATTACCAACGGCGACATTTTGGCTTAGCCAGTGTGCGTGTCTTCCTGGGAGAGGGTCCCGTCCAGCGCAAATTAACTTTGGCGCGCTGTCAAGCACGAAATGCGCGAATGCACTTTTTGCCACAAAGCACTTGATTGCCACTATGTAACGGCAAACGCACACGGCAACGTAACGCTCATAATTCTAATTTGCGATCCGCGTTTTATTTCTTTTCGTGACGTTGCAGTGTGCGTGGACCAAATGCTCAAAACCGTGGGTGCCGCCCAGGTGCTGGGGGGATTCAGATCACATGCCTGGAACGGGACGGCTTGGGATGGTATGCATTTCGCTACCAACGAGTCCAAGCGCAGGTCTGGCGGCCCCAGAAGTTGAAAATGACGTCGGGAAAAAGTTGCATATCCTAGGATATGGAAACGCCCATATCCTCACCCATATCCAGGATATCGAATATGATATGGGAGGATATGCATATCCTGGATATGGGCGGCCCATATCCCAGGATATGGGCGCCCATATCCTGGGATATGGCGAGGATATGGGAGGGATATGGACGAGGATATGTCCATATCCTGGATATGTGGAGCTCATATCCTGGGATATGGCAGGGATACGGCATGGATATGCTGGCTGTCTGGGCGCACAGGGTCGCCAACGAGAGGCACACGCAATCTATGAAACGAAATGTTTTACAGATTTTACAACAACTACAAATCAATTTTGCGTCCATATCTCTAGCCAAGAAACTACCCATCAAATCATCCACCTCTCAGTTCTTTAAGCAACTACCTATCATGAATGCAGTGACAATACAACTCCAATTAACCATTCCTTTGCACCGACAACAACGCTTAAGTTGGAACCCAGTGATACATGAAATGATACGCCGTTTCGGCGATTCCAATTGTGACGCCATTGGACATTAAATGGTGCCTTCACAGGGATTGTGATGGCATCAAAGCAACTGTGATGGCAGTGACTGCGATGTCAACCTGGCATGGCAGTTGTCATCTCCAGTTGTCACCACCACGTTTCCTTTTTGTTGTACTGGGGCCAGGCTTGTGCATAAATACTTGGGCGAAAATTCGCGGCACCTAATTGTCAGGCTTCATTACCCTACTAGACGGTGCGTAACAGGCAGTGAGGATTCTGGTACTGCTAGTACCCAAATCGCTGGAGGGATGGCATACCCGCTCACGGGAGGACGCGCAGAAGTTTGCTTTAACGTGGTGTAATATTGCGCGTGCTGTGCAACGTGGCAGTTCGAGGTATGGCGCCGCGACTGCTCCTGCGATTGTCTTCTAGGAGTTGGGGACCGAGAATAAGTGTCGATCCGTTGGCACAGATGGAGGGCGGCATCTAGGCGACCAGGTCTCAGATGTGTAGTTGGCATCGGATACCATGGCGGCATAATTGCTGCCAATCAACAACCGAGCAAAGATAACACATAAGGAAGCAAGCGATATGCACATATACTTCCTCCGCCCCACAACAACTGTCTCCAGATACTCGGCACCGCTACTTAAATCTGCATCTGATTCTTGTACCCCATCCTCTCCAATCATAGCTGCGACGTTTTTCATTATGTCAAAGTGGCGAAAATTATGGTGCATTGGCTCCACACGATTCTGCTCGAAAGATGACAGATTTTGTGTTTTCACAAGACAGACCAAAGTATTTTCGTATGGAGGGGAAGGGCATCTTCAGCCCGTCTTTGCCAGCCTGTGTCTCTTCAGGATGAGTCTGCTGACCCCTAGAAGAAGTGAGGTGCAAGTTCTGGATGAGGGGCCTTGGTTTGTGGCAGGAACCTCCCTCATATTATTGTTATTAGTAACGATTATGTGCGGCTTGGGAACACAGCGAAATTGGCCTTTTTCCGAGCAAGTTGTCGGAATTCAATGCACAGTAGTATTTGTTACTTGAACACGAAGCAGGTTTTCTGAAGTCTCAAAGTTGAACACCATCCTTCAAACTCGCAGCAGAGAATGTGCAAGAATTTTCACGGTGTTTAATTACATCTTTACACCAAAACGACGCTTCCAATTCATAAGGGACACTTGGTGTGGGACGGAGGCGGTGTATACATATTGCCCTCAGGTTTGGTTCGACATGCAATCTGTTGCAGTGCATTGGTTGCAATTGATGACGAGTGTCAATAATGTGGGGAGTCTGTAAGGAGGAGCAAAAAGCTCACTGATGTGACTCAAGAAAATGACGATCAGAAAAAATGCTGACTCAACACCGCTGGGTGTTTTTCATCGGGGTCGGGACGTTCCATGTCCTGTTGACTGGAATTTGCGTTCAGCCGAAACTGGGAATATAATGTGGAACGCCTCATGACGCTACTTGCGACGCTCTGTGATTATGAGCCACAGTTAATGTGAATTAGATTAACAGCAAATAACGAAAACGATCTTTTACAATTTGGGGCAATTGTGACGGCCAGTGTATACTTCTTCATTGAAATTAATTTGTCCGGAAATAGTCGGGTGACCGAACAAAGATGCGCCACCACAGCTGTGGTGGAATGCCCGGAATTTCATGAGAGGTGATGTCAAAGGATACATAGGCCAACGCGCTGAAACTATGTTCACATTATTCAAATGGCCTGAGGTCAGTCGACAACGTGAACGGATGCGAGAAGGTCCACTCTCCGAGGACATCAGCACGGAGTGCCGGCCTTCCTGCCGACGCTGGCGGTCAGCGGCGGCCATCGGTCAGAATCCGCTGGAAACATCGGCGGGTGGGTGGGGTGAGTCAGCGGTGCCGTCGGCGCATTGGCAGGAAATGTCCCGTACGCCCAGGTCTACGAGAACTTGCACCCCAAATCTACGCAAATCGGTCGACGTCGGCAGTGTATGAGTTCTTGAGGAATTCTTTCGACGAGGATTAGATTATCAATAGTTTGCAGTTTCCGAGTGAATAGAAGTACCAAGAGGAGAAAAGTGCGCACCTGTTTGGCAGCACATCCTGTTCGGAGATCCCACTGGGCCCCGAAGCGGGAGTGTTTGATCATGCCCATGGACATGCCATGTTCAGTGAACAGACACTCCCGATTTTGTAAGGCCTGAACTGGTGCACATCGCGACTCTGCGACGCCAAACCGAAGGCCATTCCAGCATCGGCATACGGGTGTGCCATGCTGCAAGTACAAGCCCACGAGCGCGTTGCGGTCCTTCCCGAACCCTGCTTTGAGTCTGCATGCAACCCGTGGTTGGCATCCCGCAGCCAACGCCAAAATCCTCGGCCCCACTGTCCATTGACCAGCGTGCGGGACGTGCTGAGAGTGTGGGCTGAACGGCTGGAGTACGAGGAAGCAAGGAGCGCGCACAACGGGGGGGCAATTAGTCTCCACTCCCACCGCATAAACAATAGCGGCCCGTTCTTATGGAGAAAAGCGCCAGAGACATGCACATTGGCGAACAGTTCATCTGGTGGGTAGGAAGACAACGGAAGGGCAACTGCCAAGGTCTTATTCGTGCCATACTGGCTGCACGTTTGAGATTCGCATTTTGGCAACACTTCGGGCTGGCTATTCCGTGGCCTGGATAGCGCGTTGCACCGACAGTATGAAGACAAACGGGCGCATTTGTGGGCCTGGGTGCACAACAACACGGGTGAATCAATCAGCGCAATGCCATTGCCTGCAAGGACTCATAAGATGAATACGTTTCTGCGTTGTGAAAGAGGATCCAGCTGCAGATTCGTTCGATTACGTGGGGCCTTTGGCAGGATAATCGCTGCAGTCCCCGACACATATAGTCCTAGCATTCCTGACTGTCCCTGTGGCCAGGGTGTTCTTCTCGCACTTGGTAATTACAGGTCACACCAAATTCCACGAAGCACGCTATTCACTTCTATCCAACCCAGCACAAAAAATCAAGCCGATTCAAAACAGCTCACTCTTTTTTATTTTTTTGTTCATTCCATCCATCCTCCAGCCATCCTCTACATCTGCTAAGCTACAGAATTTTGCCCTTCTCCTGGACCAGAGCCATTGGAGGCCAACATGAAAGAAAAGCAGGTGGTTGAAGCAACGAAGATACTAGTTTTGTTTTTTTGTTCGTTTCACCCATCAACTCACCCCGGACAGCACTTCTGGCTGAGCCAGCAGAGCTTCTTGGTTAGTTTCTTTTGTTCATTTCACACATCTCAACCCACCTGCCCATGTGGAACACGACAGTGTGGGCTGAGCAGCAACTGCACAGTGCAACGAATGTGAAGTATGGCTTCATGGAAGGAAATTCCCGCGGAAGCAACAAGCATCCCTCATTGGTACGGCCCTCATTACTGACGCCAATAGCAAGAGCAGCAAAATCCGCTGCTTAGAGGGGGCATGCCAGCCCGGGGTTTGTTTTCCAGCAGCAGCCTGCATGTGCAAGAGCAACAAGATGCGTTGCCCAGAAGGGCAGAATGCCAGTCTGGGCCTTGCTTTCCAGAGGCAGTCAACAAGTCCAAAAGCAACAAAATGAGTTGCTCAGAAGGGGCACGCCAACCTGGGGCTTTTTTCCAAGCAGCAGTCAGCATGCGCAACAGCAACAAAATCCAGTTGCTCAGAAGGGGCACGCCAGTCTTGGGCTTGTCTTCCAGCAACAGTCAAACTCAATCCTCCCATCCATGGAAAACGCAGAGCTGGGAATTCACCACCTCCCATCATTGCCACGCGCCGGGGTGCATGAGCGACCAAACGCAGGACACCCCCGTGGCCAGCAGCATCCAGTGCACCGCGGCGGTGCCCAGCGTCAGCGGCCTCGACGCCCTCGGGTCGAATTTGAACCGCGCCCGGCACTCCACCGCCCACACCGCGTACGATGGCAGCCACAGGCCCACCACCAGCAGCGACACCACCACCAAGTCCCTGCAGCACTCCTCCGGCTCCGGGGCGGGCATCCTGATCGCCGCGCCAGTGCACAGCGCGGCAAGCCACCGCCACGCGGCCACAATGTACTGCGCGCCTTGTGGGGTGATCATCGCCTGGGTGCACGCCAACCTCGGCGTGGAAAAGACCAGGATCGCCACCGTCGGCACCTGCAACGCGAGGTGGTGCTTGGCCAGCAGGGGGCACATGATGCTGGGCGCCAGCAGAGAGAAGACGCCCGTGTTCATAAACGTGAACCTGGCCATCGACAAGGCCCCCCCCACGGGGTCCCGGAACATCATGGGGGCCAGCACCGCCGGCAGCAGGCTGACCACGACCCGCTTGGCCAGCGCCAGGCCCGTCCGCCTCCTCCGCCTGACTTCCGGGGAAGTGGCGAGCCAATGCAAGTCCAGGGCGAACGCCACGAAGGCCACCGCCAGCGCCGCGCATCCCCTCTGCGACAGGCTTCCATCCCTGAGGTCGTTGGCCACCCTGCCCCAGCCGAATGCGACCGCCACCAGCAGGCTGAGCGGCCGGAACACGCCGTCAACCAGCTGGAAATGGCTGCGCGCGTAGTCCTCGCAGAACGCCGCCTCCCGATCGGCCGAGCGGAACCACAGGCCGCCGAAGGGGCCGAGCGCCATGGCCGGGGGCTCTGCCATCCCGGGGATTGCGATCTGCCGGGCGCCTCGCGCTTCCACACCACGACAGCCTGGCCCACTGCGCGCTCTCAAAGCCGATCGGATCTCCACGGCCAGGCGGAAGTGCTTGCCTCCCTTGGGCGCTGCCACCCACCGTTCTGGCGGGTTGCGCAACGAGGAGAGGGCGGTCGGATGGGCAAGCTACTTGGCGCACGGCTTGCCGCGCCCGCTATCCGCGGAAGCCCTCGACAAGGTAAGTTACAGCCGTCGCGGCGCGGCGCTGACAGGCCTCCGAATTGCGCTCACCCCTTTTCGGCTACGCTCTCCTCCGGGCAAGGCACCACGCGATCCCGTGCTCCCGTCGAGGAATGGGGCGCCACGTACGGCGACTCTGCGCGGGCCTTGGAGCTCGCAGCCACCTTGTGCCCTTGTTCCTATCCACGTCCCCGTTTGTACCGCATTACTGTGCCGCGTCTGTACGCCCAAATCAGGGTGCGGTACGGATTACAGCGCGGTCTAGGCAGTCACACAAATGTTTGTCAGCGCCTGGGTACAACGGGTGAGCCGTAGCGCCGGAACCGCCGGTTAGACTGTGACATCAAGTCTAGTTGCAGCGAAGGTGGTGCCAGCGTCAGGTGCTCGCACTCTCCTGCACCTCGGACGCTTCATGCCCTGCCCATCGCCACCGGCCTGCCACCACATTCAGCTGGCACCCATCACCGACGCCACTCTCACTCCCACAGGCTTGCAGAGTTCACAAAGGAGCGTTTGAGCGCCAGGCAGTGCCTCTCAACCTTCCAGCATGTTGGGGAGAAAGCGCAGATGAAGAATCTTCAAGCCGCAGCCTGTGGCGCCAAAAAAAACACTCTTGCCGATCGACGCTGGACGGCGTCGGCGTGCTGTTCATGGAACCTCCACACACGGTGTGTGGGTGACCCACAATGGGCGACTGTCGAGGAAGCTTGATGGGAAACCACGGAGGGGCACCAAGCCCCAAGGGTGCACACGGTAGGCCAAGTCCAAGCGGACCCAAGATGTTACAGGCAGAGAGCCCGCCCAACATTTCAGTCTTCACTCTGTTTGCGGTGCTACCGCCTTCTCACACCATTGAAATGCTAGAAAACGTGCTTTAGTCACACCATTGTGTTTCGATGTTTCCCACATGCTGATCAGAACGATCGCGTCTTGAAATACTCATCAGTTGGGGCTGCAACCCATCAAGAATTCAGGGTGCAGCCTGAGGTTTGCACATGGGCCATTCCAAATTGTGGGATCGGTCATTATTGATGGTGTGAATTTAATCCATCCGAGCGCCATTATGCATGAATGGCCTGCTTCAGCGCTGGGTATTCCACGAAGTCGAACACTGTCCAATCGATGGACCAATCACCAAAAAAGATGGCGATGGCCACAGCCCCAAAATGGAGGCCGTCACCATTGGCGGAAAACTGTCCTGCTTGCACAACACCCGGCTGTGCACTGCTCGTGGTGAACTGCGCGAATTGGTGCTGGATGTACCTCGACATATTCGAGGCACGTCACCTCATTATTCGACACACAAGCAACCAAGACTACCAGTTGAAGGCAAAGGCTACATTGCAGTACACAGTAGTTCTTTCTGCCCCGTTTCTATTCAACGTAGTATGGTGGTGCCAGTGCTGTGCTTCACAAAACGTCCTGTGATTCCAGCACACCGACGTCTCAAGATTGATGGCTGCAAAAGATCCAAGTTTGTTTAAACGGCTCAGCGAATTCCAACCCTTTCATGCGCAGCACTGCTTGTGGTGGGGGCCCCAAGTGATGCCATTACAATGCTTCTGGGAGTACAGTACGGGCTCTCCTGCTTCAATTTTGAAGCAATCGTATGGAAAGCACGAAACAAGTTCATACACATAAGCAGCTGCGACGCTCAGCACAGCATTCACCACGATGACTGGCGATGGGGCGTGCTTGGCGAGTCACAACGACATTGCTTTTATGCAACAAGAGCCGCACCAGCACGAAACGATGCGCATTTGTTGCACGACAAATTTGCATGCCTTGCAGCTCTGTGGGAATAATGCATTTTCCCATGATCTGAACGACACAAATAATCGTTTTCAAGGACCCAACATCCCCAAGTCCATATTTCCACCTGTGTCATTATATTACAATGCTGCCAAGAATCCAACAAAACTGCTTGTCAAGTAATTGGGGTGCTCATCACATCAACCTAGAGGTGCAGGGCAGTGTGCATTTGCATTGCACAATTGATTCTTGCTTTCAATTTCCCAATCATCCATGATCGTTATCCCAGATCTGGGGTACCCTACACTCAGAGGACTAACACATGCACTGGGGAACTAGCGCAGATTGTGCACACCGAATAGCACTCTTCCACAAACTAGCCTGAATGCCATTATTAACATCATTGACCCCTGCAGCAATTCTCATAGCCTGGAACTGAATCGCCAATCGAACAGTAGTCTTCTTCCGCATGAGACACCCAGTGTAGACACCACTTGCAAGATCACCACAACTGCCTGAATCAGAGCCCACCTTGCGGAATTCATTAATGTCCACAGACAGGCCATAGCGATGGCAAATATTATCGCATCCACCACAACTGTCTTTCATACAAGCATGCGCAAGCCCCGGGTATAGATTTGGAATCAATATCTGCACTCCCATCCCCATAAATGATACAGACAGCCAGAGGCCGAGCACCAGCAGGCTCAAAACAGCCCGCTGGCGGCACTTGCACTGCTAGAGCCCAGACATCCGGACCACCCTGCAAGTGCCCACGTCCCCGAACCACAGCCAACATATTTGAGGCGCTCTCCTGAGTGACCCATGCGACTGCACACGCACGCCGCGCCACAAATGCCATCATCAGCGCCATTGCTTGGCATCACGCAGGCCAGCAGTTGGTGCTTTGTCACCAATGTGCCGAAGAAGCGGTGGGACGATCACGTCGATGTTGATGACCCGGAATTGGGCCAGCACCCGTTTGCCTCTATCTTTTGCCTTATTTTCGCCTTCTGCTTCTGTGAGGAAGCGCGTGCAGAGGCTGTTGGTCCCCAGGGCGATCACACCGGTGTTCAAGACCAGGATTCGGGTCAGTGCCCCCGTTGCTTCTGTCTTTCAAGGGCAAATTACGACAAAGGAATTGCGCGAGCGCCCTGCCCTCCAACGACGGCTCCATGAACCGCCATGACGTTACGAGGGAGGGCACGCCGCCCATGGCCGCCCGATTGGCTATCACAACCCATTTTCTCATCGCCCCCGCGGCAAGCCGAAAACGACGGCTTTTCCTTCTCTCCTTTAAAATGCACGTCGAGGGCGGTGCCGACGGCCAGCAAGGACATCACTGAGGCGCCCCTACTGGACAGGCGGCCCGTCCTGTCACGTGACCCCGACGCAGGGGCAACATACCGGCGATCGGCCCCAGGCGAACACCAGGACGAACAAGACGCCAAGCCCGAAGACCAGGCGGCCCAGCAGGCCCGTGATAACGCCCGCAGACTCATAGGAGATCAGCCCCTCCTCCTGGTGCCCTGAAAAACGCGGGGCCACTGTGGGCCGCTGCAGCAAAGTCGCCGGAATGTAGATTGCGACGGGATCCACCGTCGGAAATGAGTCCACATGCGCCGCGCATCTATCAGGGGAACAACTCAAACCGTGCGCCACCGCCCTCGCGCCGCCGCTCACCCTGTCTGCAGTGAAGTCGTGCCTCCGAAGAGATCCGTTCAGGTCAAGTCGGAGCTGGCCTCGGATGTTTGAAGCGCCCACAGAACGGGACCCCACGCCCCCTCCAGGAGTGCATTCGATCTCCCGTGCCTCTTCTCCGCCAACCCCCCGCCCCCCCTCCCTTCCTCCTTTGGTGGACGGGCGTGAAGCTCGCAAGCTCGCAACAGTCAGGGTAGGCGGTTGGTGCTCGGGCTTCCCAGGGGGGCGTGACCTCTGCCCTGGGTCAAACACAAATGTACTGCCCCGCGGATATCCGCCAGTCTTGTCGATTAGATAAATTGTGATAAATTGTGGTGGCATGGATGGGATCTCCCTCTGGATCTCGCATTCAATCAATCAAGGTTGGCCCGTGGTCGTCCATCGACGCGATGGTGACGTCGGCGGCTGAACCCGGGACGTCAAACAACTGCTCACCGGCGTTCATCAACACACGTCCTGTCACCTTCACGCATTGTGGAAACCGGGGCAGGACGGCTTGGCGGGTTGGGGGAAGTGGTGGCCTGGCCCGTGCCTCCTCCGCGCCGCGCGCTTCGCAGCGCGGCCGCCAAGCGGCCGAGGCACGGAAGACTCCGCGGTTGAACGGTGTGGGCGCAGCGACACACCGCTGCACCCACTTGCGCCACCAGCGGAGGATGCTTGATCTGTCGGGACTGGAGCAACACAGGACCACCGCCAGTGGCCACTGGCCGCACCGCCCGAGGACATCAGCGAGGCACGCCACTCGAATCCCAAGCGCTTTCGAGCAACTCCACTCGTCGCTCCGCCGCCCCCCACCCGTCGATCGTTCCATAGCAAGCCTGGGGATATCTGCGCAGGATCAACATCGGTTCGCCAATCGGTCACCCTCCCACTCGCCGGAGTCTCACTCCACTACCCCTGACGGGAGCGGCGTGGCACCGCGCAACTAGTTGTGTACTTGGCACTTGCTTGGCACTGCCAAGCAAGACAGCGGCGAGCCCACTGAGAACTCTTTCGGCCCCCATTGCTGGCGAGGCAATTCAGCAGTTGGATCGGCATCCACGGCAGTCGGGGAACCAGAGTTGGCACTCAAGGAGGGACCAAAACACGTCGCGGTCAATGGTCAACAATCCAGCCACAGACGCCGTTCCCAGCAACGGGAGTGCACCACGTCTACGGCCTGTCCAGAAGGGTCACGTTCCGTCTGTTTCGTGTTCCGCTTCAGTTGACCGCTTTGCTTAAGAGTCTCCGTTGTTGTGGCTATCAAACGCGGAAGAACTGTGGCGCAGCGTCCCTCGAGTTCGGCTACTGTTCGCCCCGCAACTTCCGCCACGAAGTGCGTGTCGCCTTGTGCTGGAATTTGCTCCTCATGCGTGCAAGGGCTTGTGTTTGTGTAAAGCAAAGTTTGAGGACCGCCGACACTAGAGCCCTCTCCGTGTAATCACAGCGGCGTCCGCGGGCTGAGGGACCCGGGAGCTACTCGGCAAAGTGCTGGGAGCGGAGCACATGCGGGGCAGATCGCTTTGCGTGCTCCTCCGCAGTCTGAACCTCACATGGCGCAGCACTTCAAGTTGATACTTCTTCAACGCGGCCAAACAGTCACGAGAACTCGTTGCCGGGTTCACGGTTACCGATGCGGGGGTATTGATGTGTATGGGCGTGTGGAAGTGCAGTTATACAGCCGTTGCGAGAGAGCCTGCGAATTGATTTCCAGGGTGTGTTTCGGCAGAGCGCGGCCGTGCGTAGGGTCCCGATGTGACGATTCTGTTACGATTAACATTAACTTGACGGGCTGGGAGGGGACGCACCCGTGGCGCTGTGAAACTGCTGCAACTGCTACCAAAAATCGCGATGAGCTGACAAGGTGCACAAAACGCACCTAACTTGTTCGAACACTTCCTTCAAGTGTTTTGCTTCTCGCAGAGGCCAACCCCAAACTCAGTGTTTACGCCGCAAAGATCAAGCCTGCCCGCCACCGTTTCAAGCACACCGCTGTTCGACCCACAGCAAGCGCTGCAGCGCTCAGTGTAGCTCCCCATCTACACCTGTCCTTCCTGTCCGTTGGTTTGTTACACTGAACTGTTGTGAAACAAGTTCTGCATTTCCACACAGTGAAACAGGAGTCAGTCGAACTGTTGACGCCTGGATGTTCACGGCGCTTTGAGCACGCAGTGACTTTGGAGCCTGCTTTGCCTGAACGCAGCTGAAATCACTGGTGTTTATCACGCACTACAGCCAAATTGGTAAGGGGTTAATCTCCAGCATTTCGAGATCGCGACAGTGCGCGGAATTTTTCCTCCGTGCACTAATTTCGCACAGGAATCACGGGTGGAGACACGCCGGAATGCGCGGCACCAACATGTGTCGCACCAGCGGATGACCTTGGCAGGACCACAGCTGGTGCTTGCCAGCCAGAAGCGCCAGGGAAGTTAGCGCAGCAGGCTGATGATTCACTGCAGCAAGTGAGAGGCTGTCAAGAGCGCAAGGTGCTGCACTACGGTTTGCAGACGATGCCAAGAGTTGACAAGTACGTGTTGCGGCACTACCGTGCATTCAAACTGACATTGTGCTGGGCCAAGACGCCGAAGGGAAGCTTCCATGGCGTTCTCAACCAGTAGAATGATGGCGAACACAGAAGTTGAGCGCATCAGAACGAACTTAATGCAGGTTACTCTGGTGGGTGGAATTGTGCCATTCATCGTCCATATGCAGTACAAGGGCCATGTTATGTCATGCGTCAGCACATGTGATCATGCTGCTCCTAGAAAGCACAGCCTCGGCAAATCGAGGCTGAAGCACAATGGCAACAAAAGTCAGCATCCTGCTCAACTGCAGCTAATGTGCATTTTACACTCACATCCATTCGCCACCGTCGAAATGGCACACCACTTGGCGACGGCGGGCGCTCTTTGCAATCTAAGAGTCGGTTCCTGAATGCGATCGCCATCTCCAAATCCAGCAAAACGCCCAGCGCCTGAGGTGAACACGCTCGCAGCGGCCCACTGCCACTGCCCTGCCAATGCTGCTGCATCCTCCAAACCGGTGCCGCATGAACTCGCATTACATGATTCACAGAGGCGCCACCAACGCGCTATCTTTCTTTGCAACTTGCCGCATTCCCAAAACGCTGCTCTTGCAGCTACCTGGCGATGGGAGCAATTTCACCCACGCACTATTGTATGTATCCCCCCAGTTTTATTTGAGCGGCAGCCAATAGGCTTCGAGCACCACACACTACAGAAGCACAGCCGTCCTGAAGGGTCTCTTAATCGCCATGACCTGTAACAACCTAACTGTACAGCACCAAAATTGGGTTCAAGGTGTTCAAGCATCAATGTTACCGTGATCCTGCGGCCCGCTCCCACAGTGGACAAATCGCGGTGCCCTGTCAACACTGGCTTACTGCTTCCATATCCTTCCTGATTTCTCAACAGCAACATTTGCCAAAGCAAAGCGGATTAATGCCAAAACCAAACCACCATTCTTGTCTGCTCATGTTACTTAGCTGTTGTGTACAATCAAGACGAACACCCTGAGAGACTCTGTCGACCCTGGCTTCTTTCTTACTAGATATCTTCTTAGATTCTCTATGGCAACATTGCCAAAGCAAGGTGGATTCGTGCTCATACTCAACCACAGGTGTCTGTCCAGATTCTCATGATTATCCATCATCTGTGTCCACCTGCCTCAAGGTCGCAACATGACATTGCCCGTATTTCCAACAATTCCGTGCCCCTATTGCACAACTTAGATGACCAGTAAATCGTGTGCCTATTTGCCTGGGCAGGGCTTGCAAACCTGCTGTTTTGGATGGGTGACTCAAAAACGATTCAAAACCCATTTTGCGGAATTGCTCAGCGTTGTCATGCTCATACTCTTCCAGACCACCAGTTGCCACTGTATCAGACATCGATCACAGTGCACAACAGTGTCCCAGATTCTCTGCATAGAAGGGGAAGCCTAGCACACAGCCAGCCCTCAAGAATCCC